CAAACAATCTCAATATAAATATTAGAGCTGCTTTAATTAAATTACAACAAGGTAAATAAAATTTATAATAAAAATTTTTTATTATTTTATAGTTTTCTAATGATAATTTTTTAAAAAATAAATTAGAACCTGTTCCAGAACCTTTAATGGATACTTCTGAAAATTAATTTCACTATTACTATTTATTTATATTATTATTTTATTATTTGATCAACCAATAAAACTTTCAATTTCTGTATCACAATAAACAAATAAATTGATGTACTTATTTGGAAATGCGCGCATGTTACTTTGTAACACAAATTGAATGTCCACCATGCTCAACACTGGAGGTTTGTGTAAAAATAAATGAAAGCATCATACCAATAACATAATGGAAATTTGTTTCATCCAAGATGTTACACAGAACCTGATTTCCTTGAAATTACACTAGCATATAGTTTTCACCTCTATAAATTGGAGATCCAATTGAGATCAAAAACATTCACTGTAACTTATGTTTTGTTGTTATGTTGATCATTTCTTAATGATCTGCAAACAATTTCCATTATGCTTACACCAATAGCATAATGGACATTCGTTTTACCACTTTGTGTCAAAATTGATCATCAATCTTTTTATATTGTGAAACAGGCTATTTCAATTGAAGTTAGAATAGAAAATAATCTTGTGACTGCGCACAAAAACCATTTTATGAAACATGCATCCTTTTTTTACATTAATATATATTTCAACTTTTCTTTACATTCTGGCAAAACCTGATCAAGTAAATCAAGTGGATTTCAATAGGTTGTATTAGAAATGAAAGTTTAAAGTTTCTGTGATCTATTTAGACCTGTCAACTTGGCAATTTTTTATTTTTTTACTTTTTTATAGATTATTTTTATTATTATTATTATTATTCACAAATGGTCTAAATTTATTAGAAGCAAATATTTAAGGCCTCCATCATCATTTCTTTTTTAATATTTTATCTTTTCTAGTCTATTTATTATTATAGATAATTAAATATGACAGAGCAGCCAAAGAAAAAGTTCATAGAGAAATATATTTAGAAAAGCTACAAATTGTGTCTCAAGACAATAATAAATTTTCTTATTATTCAAATGTCACTGAAATAGAACAAAATGGAAAACAACATTGGGATAAATTGGCAAAATCGATAAGAAAAGTTAATGACACACCATTAACTACTGATGATGAAATCATAGCAAAATTAGCAAAGTCAAGAGAAACCGAGAATCAAAATGCACCTGTTGGTATATTGATTGATTTTGAAGACGAAGGTGCCAAAGAAAAATCAGCTGAAAATTGTTTGTATATAAATTTATAATATGGATTTATTAATAAATAAATAATTTCTATTAATCTTTTTTTTCTTTTTTAGTGCCCCCGCCAAGTTCAGAACATCATCAGTGGTGGACTGTCCCAATCGGTAAATCAAAAAATAATTAGAAAGTCTTTTGAATTTATTTTATATTAACAATTTTTATCACTGACTTTTATTTAGTTGGAACACACACAACAGCTTTATCACCAGTTAAAATTGATAAAAGTACAATTAATCACGATTTTCGGAAGTATTCAAATAATCCATTTTATGACACATTGGTAAACCCAATGATGACAGACTTTTCTGAACAACCACTTGTATCTTTACCATCTACAAAATCAACAATTCAAGGTAATATTCTTTAATTATTATAATTCTTTAACTATTTTGATTTTATTAATATTTCTTCTAATTTTTTCCAGAATTTAACAAGCCAAAAAAAAAAATAAACCCATTTTTTGAGATTGATTATGAACTTGACGATGATAAAACCAATAATAATGATCAATTAATCGATATTCCGTTTGATTCATCGGAACAATCAAAACCGGGTAGGTGATAAATAAACATCTTGATTAAGATTAATTTTTATTTAATTCAATTTTTATTAAAATATGTGTTTTAATAAGAAGTCAATTCACACAATGATTGGATTCCATTAATTCCAACTAAAATCAATCGTGGTGATGATAGTAATTAATTTAATTTAAACTGTTATATAGACTGTACAGTATTTATTTATTTATTGGCACATATGCCAATTATCATCAAATTTTTAAATTGCTATTTATTCATTATAATTATTGTCATTATGATTATTTCATTACATATTCCGATTTCTGCGGCATTCTGCACTATGCAGAAAATCACCGTCCTGTAGTAGTAGTAGTTTTATCTAAAATCTTGTTATAAATTGAGAAATTTCTTTCTATACTGCATTTAGATATGGGCAATCATTAAGTTTTGTTGTATGTTAACATGAGATACATGAGATAGCAAAGCCGTGTTAAGTTTGGATAAAGAATAATTTTATTAAATGATGATAGTGCAAGTTTATTAAATTAATTACAATGACTTTTATATCCACACTACCACTACTATAATACCACTATTAGTAATGGCATGTGTTAAATTGGCAAGTATCATATTAATTAATTAGTCAAAAGGAATCTTTTAATAGTATAAAATAAATATATTCAGGTAGCAAATGTTAATAAGTTGGGTAAGGATAAAAAGCCATAATGCAAAATTCGAAGCAGAGTTAAGGTTTGTCATTTTTTTTTAAGTATGCAAACAAATATTAGTATAATATAATCAATTAGTTTTAAACAAATTAACAAACCTTGAAGCTATGGATTATTCCTGCACCACATGGTTGCAGGTGTGCAGTTACATTTGGTAAATCTTCAATTAGATTATGTGTTGGTGCATTGTCAACAAGTAATATTACTCCTATTTGCGATAACACTTTTATCTAATTCTTTAAGATAATCGTTCTATATTGGTGTTTGCATGCATCAAAGTCTTATCATTCTTTTTAAAGCACATGGATTTTGATATTTATAAATAAACAAGGAAATTAACTTCTCTGTCCCGATTACATTGCATGTAATACTGTTATTTTATCTTCGTCTGTCTTGTTCCTGAAAGTGGACCAGTTGACAACTCGCATGTTGATTCCATGCCTTCAAAAATTATTAGATTGAGATTGAGATCGAGATTGATTTCGATCTGCATTCAAAAATTTCCATATCGAGATTGATTTCTATCTGAGATTGAGATCGAGATCGAATTTTAATATGAAATTTCAATCAGTAAGATTGAAAAATAAACAAACAAAATAAATAAACAAACAATAAAATAAATAAATAATTTTTATTTTTTTTTTGGGTACTCCCAATTTTTTCTTTTAACAAAGACATCAATACTAAAAGCATTAGCATTGGTATTTGTAAGTTCAAGGTCATTTCTTTTCTTTGATGCAAACAATTAATAAAGAGAAAAGAAACATAAAAAATCCATTTTTAATATTTTTTATTAATAATTTTGATAAAATAATTTTTGATCACGGATTGAAAATTTCAATTTCAATCCAATCTCAATCCAATCAAATATTCAATCTCAATCTCAGTATATAATTTTTGAAGGCACCCTATGTTTTGTATCAATAAAAATAGAATTATACCTGAAAACATCAATAAAAGTATGTTTGTTTGTTAATAATAATAAATTAAATATTAATTAATGAATTTCTGCACAAATCTGCTAATAGATTATTGGCTACCTTTAATGTAACACACGCACCTGCATTCAATTTCACACACTGAATGTGACCTTCATAAATTTGTCTCCCAAAATTTCATACCTTAAAATGTTGCACAAATCAGTGGATATGAAATAAATATATTAACAATCAATAAAGATATTTCAGGAAAATACTTAGCTAAGATGTTATTCTTTTTAAAATACAGCATTTACTGATGCATATGACAGCATTCCTGCCTTTCTTCATTTCTTGCTTACATTGCATTAATTTACTCTCTAAATATTTCTTATCTAATTCTTTCTTGTGTACATCACAGTTAATATAATTTAAATAGTTTTTTTTTTCAAATAGAAATATTATTATTTAATAAGAATATAATTTTTATGGAAAATTAATATACTAAGTAAAAGTTATACATGTCCATTACTCCTTTCCTGACGCTTATCTCTAAAATTGATTCACATGATTTCAACTAGGGACTCTTTCAACAAATTCAGTGAATAAGCAAAGTAATGTGTTAACTAATGGTCTTGATGTTTTGTTCACTATAAAGATAAAAAAAAAGGTTTAGGCAAAAAGTAAACTCTTTGTACAAAAATTCATCAATTTTGAATAAAAGATACTTTTTTCAAATTAACATATTATAATAGTTTTTTACAGATTATGAAAGAGAAAGTTTGAAGGTATTATTTCAATTATTATTATGGAGGTTTGGAGTTTTGGCAATTGGGCTTATTGAACTGGACTTATTGGACCAGTCCAAGCAGACCAGTCCAATAAGTCTATTGAACAGGAGAGACCGTCCTATATAAGGAATGGATTTTCACAATTGATTTCAATTTTTTTTATACAGTTTAAAATACTTTTGCAAAGCCATTCTTGCAATAAATCATGTGTAAATAATTACACAAACTTGAATCTTTACACTCACAACAAGCTAAAAAATACCATAGATCAAGCCTATATTTTGCGCAGAGTAAACGACGACACGATCATATCAACCTCTTTAACTGTTTGTTGCATAATGTTGAGTTACAGCTGCCACCAATTCCTCTCTGCTGCGTAATTTCTAACCTTTTATTCACGAATTCTTTTGTATCTAAATTCACTGAATATTCATCGATTATCAGGTTAATTGATTGTTGGAATTTTAATCAATGAATGATTAATTGAATTATCAACGATCAGTTGATTCAAATAATCGAACAGCGAATATTAACATTCGGTGAATTTTCCGTGTTAGTATAAAAGACATACTAATACATAAGGGATGAGTCTCGATTCGGGAAATTTTTTCAAAAATCTGTTATACCGAGATTTAATTAGCTAAATACATTATATCAAAAGAATTTACTATAGCAGATTGTAATATTTGTTACACGGTACTGTAATAGAAATTCGTTCAACTTTTTTTTTTAGATAAACACGTAAAAAAAATAATAGAAAAATAGTAATGTCCACAATATCCGAAAGACTCACTTCAATTTCTACTATTCCTTCCCAAAAAGATAAAACAGCAGAATATCGATCTTTACTTGATTCTATTCTTTCTTCAGCTGATGATGACAAAGATTTTAAAACTAATCTAGAAACTTTTGTTGATCACATAGTACATGAACAAGTCGGACATGTTATTTCTCGTCAAGTACTAAGTGACTTCACACTAGGTGTAGACAAAATCGCTGATCGTGAGCTTAAAAAACAGATTTTGCACTTTGTTTTAAACAAAGTTCAACCAAGACTTGTTAGTTTTGAAGAACAAGTGAGTTTTTTGATATAACCATCCACAGTGTAATTATTTAATAATGATAATAATAATAATATTTGATTTGAAATTAAATTAGATTTCAATTCTTCGTGAAAAACTAGCTGGAATATATGAAACAGAAGAAGACTGGATTGAATCAGCAAAAGTATTACAAGGCATTCCATTAGACTCGGGCCATAGGTGTCTATTTAATTTTTTTAAACAATATGCACATATATATAAATATTGATTTGTTTATTGATTTATTTATTTTAAAAAAAAATTTCCAAAGAGCTGTTTCAGATGAATACAAATTAAAAATCTATATTAAAATTATCCAACTACTTTTGGAAGAAGATGAAGCTGTGCCAGCAGAAACATATCTTAGTCGAGCTGCTTTATTGATTCCTGGATGTAAGGATCAAGTAAAAAATTTAACATTTAAATTATCACAAGCTAAAATCCTTGATTTCAAAAGGAAGTTTCTTGAAGCTAGTTCCAAATATCATGAATTAAGTTATGTTTCAGAGTTAGCACCTGATGACCGTACAAATTGTTTGTGAGTAGTTATTAAAATAATATAATGATTATTATTCTTATTATTCTTATTATTATTTCATAACTGCGACATATATCTTTATATTCTTTCATATTGTTATAGAAACGCTGCTATCACCTGCGCAGTCCTTGCAGGTGCAGGCCCTCAACGTTCACGTATGTTAGCCACTTTGTTTTAACTTTATTTAGTAATACATAGCCCCTTCAATCCGATCTTTTACTATTACCTTTTATTTTTATCTTATACCTTACGAGGTTAAGATTATTCCCATTTTCTTGTTAAGAAACTCGAAATAATTAAATCAGAAGCTTTCATCTGCGTTTATCAACAAATTCTTAAAGGGACCTCAATCCATTCACTTAGTATATTATCAAAATAAAATTTGTCATTCCTGCAGGATTAAAGGACACGTCAAGAAAGACTGCAAAGTCCAGCGACTAATTGAAGTAGAAGAAATAGAATTCATATTCCAAAAACAATCTTGTTGCAGCCACTATAAGAGAAAGGGATATTTGAGGAAGGATTGCGACAGATTAATTAAAGAAAATATTTTGCTCCATATTTGCCGTCTTGAATTCAACCCAACAATATATAAACAATCGCTACATATTTTTCTCAAGACTTTTGCGGCTTTGTTGATAGATTATGATAGTAGAAACCGGCACCAGGAAATCGAATATGGAAACGGCATATTCGTTCTGAATTAGCGGGAACTTTCTCGAAATCATTAATCCGGAAAAAAATCATACCAACAATTATTATTAGAGGATCCGATCGTTTTCCTTAATGCTATTAGTTAGTATAAGATATAGAGAATATCCGAAAGATTTATCCTCGTTATATCAAGGCTATATAACCACAGCAGCATGAACCCATCACTTCGCAAGAGAAATAAATGAAGTAATACAAAATTCTGAGGAACAAATACCTAGTAAAGAAAGTAACGACTCAGATAACGACTCAGAAGAATCGATTTTAGGCCTTAATCAATTTTTCAATTTAAATCAATCAGTAAACAGCAAACCAAAATCAGTTATTTTCATAAACGATTGGCAAATAACGTTCTCGAAATACCTCCTATTTAAATAAGTTTATTATTAAAAATACGTATTTAAAAAATAAATAATTACAATGTTTCTTCAAAAATAGTTCAAGTGACTCAATCTTTTCCAAAGGATTATTTGCTGCGGCAAGTACTTTGATCAAATATGTTGCTTTTTAGAAACTTGTTGGTATAAAGTAGGAATTGTTCGTTGTCTTAAAGAAAGATTATTGGATTATTGGATAATATTTTTGTTCTTTTTATACAATCTAGATGGTTATCAAGTGTTGATTTGCGATCACGTTTTACGGCATGCTTTCATACTATACAAAATAATTTAGTTCCATCTGCATAAAACTCTTCTACTTTGATTTTGAGCACTTATTGACTTAAGTTTTCACAGTAAAAAAAATTTTTTATCAAGACTAAAAAATTGCTACCTTTCTATTATATAATTAATTATGCGATACATATTTCTGGGCACACTAATTATAAATTGGCAATAAGGAATCATGTTTTACAGATATTAATATATAAAAATACCGTTATCATAATTATAGAAGATTAATCCATTACAATCATACCTTATTTTTTAAATATACCTGCAGCATTGCTTTTTTTCTTGGTTAGTGCAGAAGTACCCGGGCTAGATGAATGTAAGCCAAATAGTCCTTTTACTTCTTGTCGTTTGATAACAAAAGTGTCATTACTTTTTTAAAAAATCGTATAATGTTACTGAACTTTTTGAAACAGAATTTGTACTTGGTAAAGCATTTCGAAAAATCAAAATTAATTCAGAATCTCTTGTTACGACCATTTTATGGTAATAGGCTCTTTATCTTCATGATATTGATAGTTGTCAAGAATAGTTGTTAAACTGGTCATTAAAAATACTTGAGAAATAATAGCCTCTAAATGTTAATTAACTTTGAACTAAAATATACATGCTTGTTTATTTATTTATATACTTATGTTCTAAATCCTTTGTTCGTCATATCCATCCAGGGATGGCGCGTAACCCTAAACCCATTTTGACGAAACTTTAGTCAGTGTGAACCCTAATATAGTAATGATTGTCTTGATAACATATTTTCTCTAAATATAACCCCTCCAATTAATAATAGAATTACCCGATTCAATTATTGTCAATGTTAGAAACATCAAATAATAAATTCAAGTGATGTTTCTGAATTATCCATGCTAGAAAAAGTCAATGTTATTATTTTTTCTGGTAGATAAAACAGGGTTTAAGATATTAATATTAATATGATTATTGCTGTGGATTCCAAGTTGTCACTTGACAAAGAAACATTTATATTAATTAACAACACTACTGCACTAATAATAATGTAAAAAAGTCCCACTGTGATGATCTGATATATGTACGATAATGTTGTAAAAAAATAATGATGTAAATATGACAGAAATTGCACTACAATTTGTTTAAGAATTTTTTTTTTTTTGTGAATGGGTAAAAAAATCAATGACCCAAGTCAAATGACTAAAAATTGGCTAAAAGTTTATTATGTCAAATTACATGAAAAAGGCTACACACTTTATTTAGTCAAGTCATATTGACTAAAACCTTAGGATTACGTGACCAGCCTTATAACTTGAATAAGGAAATCGCCAATGTAACTTTTTAAACATTGAGAATTTGCAGTAATTTGCAGAATTGCTTTTTTAGGCACCATATTTATTTTATAATAAATAAATACCAATTTGAAAAGTGTGATCTCCTCTGTGATCTTTTGACAGTTGGTATAAAATAACTATATTAATATACACTTGCACTGATGGGACTGTTTTTTAATATAGATTGTTCGTGGATGATTTATTCCAGCACATATTGGAGGTATATTAAAAAAAAAATTTCTGGTGTAAAAAAAAAAATAGAATAGAGCCAAATTACACCAACAACTTCCGTTTATAATACTCGTCGTACTTGGGTAAGTATAAGTGAGTCAAGAACTTTTCTAGTTTTCGACAAAAAATTGATGAATCTCGTTTTCTTCAATTATATTCGCGTAAACAATTAAAGGTTCAGATAACAATGGGCTTAACTTATTAAATACCAATCACCACAACGTCAAATTTTTATTGGGCTTAAATCAATTAAAAATAAGATAATAATGATAAATATCATTATAATAATATTTAAATATTTAAAATGTCTATATTATTATTATTATTATTACACCTATCTACTACACCAATGATACTCTATATCTAATTAGATATGATACATCAAATGGTCAAGCTTACAATTTTGGCACAATGTCTATCTGGTCACGAAAAAAAAAGAACAATCTAATTCCAAAACATCTCACAAATGATGCAAAAACATTTATCAAATTGGTAAACCTCCTCTTATTTATAAAAATGAATTATTTATTAATTGATATATTTTCTCTACACAATATAAAAAAATCAAATTGAATAGGCTCTAAAAGACAGTTTGCCGTTGGAAAACGCATTAAAACACACATGGATTGTAAAACATGATATAATTGGTTACTAATTATATGTATCAATATTCAAAATAATAAAAATAATAGTATAGTAATTTATTAGCAACCAATATAATTCTTCAATCGTAATGATAATAAATTGATTTCAATTAGTTTTTATTATATTTATCAATGTGTGATAATACAGTGAAACCTTGTTTCAACGAATTTTTAAAAATCTTGTTACACGTTATGAAAACATATAAAGATTCGTTGAAACGCGATTAGTAATCTTGTTTCAACGAATTTTGAATGAAATTTTCTTATATATCCAGCCACTTCGTTGTAACAAGAGTATAATTACTACAATGATATAATTTATCGTATAATAATAGTATTTACATAGTTATTCAGATATATATTAATTATATTAATTATTTTTATACATAATAATTTTTAAAAGCTAATATTATTTGAAAAATTATAATATTAATTTGCACTTAAATAAAACTCACGACAAACTAACAAAATCGATGTTGTTAATATTTCTCCAATCACTAACAAACATTCTAGCGAATTCTGATGCTTTCTCAATTGGCATTGTTAAGTTTAACGGATTTACTCCATTATTTACTCTATTACTAACATGAAAATCTTTGCCTTCATCCCACAAATTAGTAATCAACTTGAATAAATTTGTTGCACTTTTCTGCATTTCATTCAACGTACTATTTTATTTTTTTTTATCATAAAATTATAAAATTAATTATCTCTCTATCATAGAATTATTTAAACTAGTTATTTTTCTTTTTTAAGAAAAGTAAATTATTAACATACTTGATATATTTATTTGGAATAGTATTAGAAAAAATACCAGTTTTTGCTTCTTCATTAAACGACTTAATATATTCATTGCTTAATTTGGTGAATCTCTTTTGCTCCAACCCCAAACGATTCATGAGAAATATTGCCCTAAGCTTATTGATAAGTGGTAATAGTGCAAGTGGGTCGTGCTTCTTTGCATTGTCGGATACCCAGCCGAAATGATTATCAATGCTATTTAACACAGTTCCAATCTTGTCAATCTTGTCGATAGTATTTTCTCCGTGTGCTTGAATATTTCTATAGAACCACTCTATATATAGAATCAAAATTTCCATGTGATCGGACAATCTCTCTAATTTTTGCTTCTCTGTCATCCCACTTAACTCCTTCTCTGGTCTACTATGATCAGCTCGACGTTTGTAAGTCTTTGCCAGTTTAAACTTTCTTTCTGCGACCGTTTGATAAAATAATACTTCTTCTGGATCAATTGGTACGACATCAGTATTATCTGTCTGAACGTGAACAGATCTTGATTCAGGTTTATAATCATCAGTTTGAGTTGATATCTGATGTTGTACTAACATTTCATTATCTTTTCCTTCTAAATATTGAATGCTTTTATCAAATACTTTTTTTGTGCTAATTGTTGGAACAGTTGATATTGACGTTGATGATGTAGTAGTTGTTAAATCACTTGTAGAAGAAGCCGCAGATGAATGGGGTGGGTTGGAAGAAGAAGAAGAAGAAGAAGATGATGATGATGAAAGATTTTGTTGTCTTTTCATATCCTTTTCCCATGCTTGTCTATCTGTTTTATTATAAGATAATTTTACAATTAACTTATTTGAATCAAACTTTATTTTTGAACTGTCACGAGTAGTTGCATCTGGTGATTTGACAATAGGAGCCATTTGAGCAGGTCGTTTTGCTGCAATCTCTGGTGCCTTTTTAGAACGATATGTAATCACTTCAATTTCTGGTGACATTTTTCCTTTTCTCTCCTCTCTAAAACTCTGTTTATAAAATAATAAATTATCATATAAATATCAATACATATAAACATATGCACATTTATATGTATATATTAGGTTATTAATAACCTTTAAAGATTCTTTGGCTCTCTTTATTGTCTCCTTTTGTCTCTCTTTTTCCGCGACAATTCTAATAAAAATATAATTTAACAATTAAAAGAATCCGATTAAAAAATTAAACGATAATGACAGTGATAAAATAAAATAATCACAATAAGAATAAATAATTTACTTACTTTATTTCATTCTTATTCAATATATTAGAATTACCCAAACCTAATCTACATAAATAATCGATCATTGGATTAAGAACAGGCTTTGATTTTTGATCAATATTATTATTATCGTTGATAGCGCTACTATTCTTATTATTATTGACAACGCTACTGCTACTAATACTACTAGTATTAACTTGTTTTTGTTGTGATAGAGATGATGATGCCTTGTTGTATGGAGAAAAACGATTATTATTAGGTTGTGGATTTTTTTCTTTTGGTCTGGGTGGTATTTTTGGCGCAGCAGCAACAAAACTGCTCCATTCATCAAATCGTATATCAAAACCTTTTGTTATTTCTTTCATTTCACGATGACAGATTATTGGACCATCTTTCTTTTTCTCTTTAAAACTATCAAGCCTTTCCTTTATATTAAGTTCGAACTTTCCATAACGAATAGCATTTTTTTGAACCTCTTCTTCATTGATCTTTGGTGATGGTTGTGGTATTTCTTTAGAGGGTAGTGATCTTTGATTCTTCGGAACTTTTGTCGGTGGTCCTGTTTCTCTATTATTGTTGTTGAACCTGTTCGAGTGTTGTTGATGGTAATGATAAGATGTAGAACTACCACTACTACCACTAATATAGGAGGAACTTTGATAGGTATTTACATTACGTTGAATTCCAATTCCGTTATTGTAGTGTGTTGAATATGGTTGTCGTGGGTAAGGGTTGTTTCTATATTGACGACGACTTGTGTCTCTTGTTTTGAATTCCATAAGAATTGGAGTATTATTAAAATAATCAGAAGTAACAGAAAAAATTTTTTTTTTTGCTAGTGAATAAGTAAAGATTATAAATTTTTTTGCAAACTACTTTTTTAAAAAAACTAGACAAGTGTGAATTAAAAATTAAAAATATATTTATTATACATTTTAAAAATTTTTTTTTTCTAACAGCAGAAATTTATACAAAAAAAGAAATGAGAAAATTTAAATAAGTAAATTTTTTTTGATGATCCGGAGATAGTTTGGTTTTTTTTGTCACCAAATTTATTTTGAATTCCGATTTTTTTTTTTAAAGGTAGATTTCTTATTGTTCGAAAAATTGGATCTTTTTCATGTCCCCAAATGCAATCATTGTCAATCATATTCATTCAGAGTTCACAATTTTAGCCAAATTTCCAATAATATTATTAAATAGAAAAATCGGAAATCGGTCGTAATATATTAATTAATATATTAATATATATATATAGAATAATAACATAAATTATATATATATATATATATATATTTATATGATCTTAAATAAACATGAGCTTATTGTTTGTTTGTTCAACATTACTTGTGTAATTAATTTATGCTGCTGATATTGTATTGAAATTATGCGTAAATTTACATTTTGGAATTTACCAATTTACGCGATTTTTATCATAATTTAAGTTTACGCGTCGATAATTATATAAAGACAAATTCCAAACTTTTTTTTTTTCTTAGAAAAAATAAAAAATAAAAAAACACTAGCAATAACTAGTGATAATAATAATAATAACATACATACATATACTATAGTAAACTACTTCAGTAGAATCGTTCAACACTTCATACACTTTATAATAAAAACATTTTACCATAATACAAATTTACTAATTTAAAATATATACTCTATTTATATAAAATGAACTCATTAGTCGAAACATTTAACAATTTTTGTCCTCCAGCAGTTAATACCAAAGAATGGCTCGACTCTTTTAACCCCTTCATAAGCACAACAAGCTCACGTTGTAGTAACAATACTGCTTTCTCTGATAAATCGTCACCATCACCATCATTACTCGCTCCATTAAACTACAATTATCTTCCACCACTTTTAGAAAAAAATCTTGTGAGAAAATCTGTGAACAACGAAAATTATCCATTCATCCTTTATCCAAACACTAGAATAACATCATCACCATTGTCATCATCATTATCATCAAATCTAACAACTGATCCAGCAAACTACAAAATAACTAATAGCAATTATAATAGTAGTAGCCGTAGTAGTAGTAGTAGTAGCAGTAGTAGTCGTAGTAGTAGTAGTAGTCGTAGTAGCAGTCGTAGTGGTAGTATTAGTAGTCACTCTACTATAACCTCTTCACCCTCACCCTCACCCTCACCCTCCATCATTATTGGTTCAAACCCACCTGTTAAAAGCGCAACTTGTCAAGAATGTGGCAAACTTTACATGGGTAATAACTCACGTTCCATTTTGAGACGTCACTTGGCACAAATTCATAAAGTAACATTGCGCCGCGGAACACGCTGGGATAGTAACCCAAATCGTCCTAAAAATGATGAAGAAAGGCGTCAACGAATGTTAGAGTCGAAACGAAAGTATGTAATATAAATTTTATGTGTATAGTTATTATAAATATTCTTTATTTAAATATATTAAACTATTATTAGATCGGCCCAAAAATTAAGAGCAAGAAAAAAGGCTTCAATAAAAAGTCTTGTGTTTTAATAATTGATTTTTATAATTTAGAAGATAATAATTGTAGCAATTAAGAAATAAAAGATAATAATATTATTATTATGCAAAGTCGAGTTAAATATTGATTTAGGTGAAATATTTGTTGGATTGTTTTCTAATTCAAATCATAATGAATGATAAATTGGATAATGATAATGAATGATGAAAAGAAATAAAAAGGAAAGAATTTTTAATTAGGAACTTATTTACCTGGTAAATATAAATAAATGTATTATTTTAAGATTAAAAAAAATTCATTTATAATAAAATGTAAGATTATGCAAAATTGATATTCACATGATCCTCCATTATTTTTTTTGTTACACCTAATTTCTATGGAAAAATCTCAAAAATAATAGATGTGAAAAGAAAATTAGTGTTAGTAGTGCATAAATTCGTCATATTCTTTCGTTAATAGTAGAGACATGCATTCTAATCAAATCTGAATATTACCTAAGGATTTATACTAAATTTAGATTTAGACATTGTCAAATGTGTTTTAATTTAGATACTCGTCTATAGTTAGTAGTAATGATATTATTGGTTGTTAATATTATTTACAAACTATTAATACATGTAGGTTGGGGTATTTGGATGCGAATTCATATTGGCTAATTTAACATGTCTTTGTCACTCTCTCGTGATAGTTTTTTTAAATCATTTAAGACGTTAAATGAGGGGCCTGATTTATGTGACATGAAATTTGATCCTAGTAGTTTTTCTTCTCCTTGCAAAGAAAGAAAGAGAAGACGATTTTGTCGGTAAACAAATGATGATTGATCAATCGTTTTTCTTGGATGAAATTCGTATTCACCGATAATATCGTTTTACTCGATATTATAATTTTCCAAATTAATTCACTTTAAAATAACAGCAACGGCGAACAAGCTTTGAATTTTTCTTCTTTCCAGTTAATAAACAATCAACAAGTTTTAGCTCGAGAACAAGTTTAAGGATCGATAATCCACATCAAATCAAATCCTAAACCATTCGCTGATAAAGACTTATTTAGTCCGGCCCACTCAATTTATTTTATTATTTCGCTCTCCTACCCTAACTTGTATGTAATTAAAAAGAAACTAATGGATATGAGCAATAATAATAATAATAATAATAATAATAATAATAATAATAATAAATTTTTCTTCTCATTCTTGAGCTTTGCTTTTGAATTGGTTATGATTCTTAGAACTTTTATACCTTCTATACCTTTCAATAACTAAATCTAGAAACCATCATTTAAAATGTTTTTTTTTGAAAACATTCCATAACCTCATCCATTCTAGATTCTATATCATTAGATATTTTGTTAAATTCCACTTTTAGTCCTCATAAAATACTTCAAATTCACAAAATCCGTTTGAAACTTTCAAGAGATTATTACACAGTTAATGTAATGTTGAAGTTTTACCTTTTCAGATCCCAGATCTTTGGATATCGATCATAAGCAAATGATCAGTGTTTTATTAAATAGATCAACATCCTTGAAGTATTTCTGATGTTTTATTGAATCGATATATCAATCGACATATAAATTCCTTCATATACAAAAATGACTGGAGGCAGCCAAACAAAAGATGACATAGAAATATTGAGAAACAATTCACAAATGAACTGGCAAGTGTTGGAACTCGATGTACGATACATTTTTAGACAAGCAAGCAAGATCATTTCCTATTATTCCGATATACACTAACACAATTAGAAGGTTATGAGACATGGCTCGATAAAACGATTTTTTGTTATAACGAAGTTTTTCTAGTTCGTTGATCAACTCAATAAGACAAATATTCCTATTACTATTGTTTCACTTAAATGTTTAAGATGGGGGTTGCATATAGTTCGACATATATTAAATATAACTGGTATTCAAATTATTCGCTTTATTCGCTTTATTAATTTTATTCGCTTTATTCATTCATTTTATTCGCTTTATTAATTTTATTCGTTTTACAAAGTATAAAACATTAATTCACAACAAATTCTATATTGTTGTTGTTGTTATTGTTAAGGTGTAAATAAGGTTTATTTCCTTTAACAAGATAGTATGGTTATATTTATAATCTATTTTACTACTACTATGGCTGCTAGTATTATGGCTTAAGAAAATTACTTTTGCTACCATTATTTATTGTTATTATTACTGTATATAAGGACTAAGTAAATAAATATATATATATATATATATTAACTTGAATATATATTCAAATTCATAATAATAATAACGAATAAAACAAATAATTCGAATAGAAACCCTACTTGTCATTATTATTATTTAAGAAAATTTTTTTGGCCCGATATTTTTTGATAAAAATTTCCCCAACCGGGCATTCCCCCAATATTTTTGATCACGCATTTCGCATCCTGTTCGGCAGTCATTAAAAAATTTTCCTTACATTCATTTCATTACTTAGAATGACAAAAACCACAACACTTGTACCAAAATAAAAGATAAGAAATTAATAATTAATATTGAACCATAAATAATAGTAATGGTGGCAAATTAGGAGATATATCAATTATAATATTAGTAATAGAAGTGATAATAACAATAATAGTAATAATAGTAACAGTATTAGTAGTAATAATAGTAACAGTATTAGTAGTAATAATAATAATAACAGTAGTAGTAATAAAGATCTGTTCAACATGTAATGTTAGTTGGATATGCAAATATTTTGAATGATAAACATGTAGGTAGAACTTGTAAATATTTGTTTGATGGAGTCAAAAATAGTTTGATAAAACATTGATTCCACTTAGCATAATGGACACTCATTTTGTGCAACAGTCATTTGTATAATAGGCAGGCGGTTACACAGAGCCCGTTGCTTCTGAAACTTCACTAGAATATAGCTGTAGCCTCTCTAAGTCCAGATCATCAGCAAGATCAAAATTATCTCACACTTTTATAATCAAACTTTTGCAAGAACTTTCACCATAACATATGTTGTGTTGATCATTTTTTTGTGATCTGCAACAGTGTCCACTATGCTATTCCACTTAAACATTTTAAAAAATTGAGGATTACTTTATGTTAATTTTTCTTCTAATGATTAACATCAACATTTTAACATTAACATCAATGTTAATATTAATGTTAAAGGGCCTATAATATACTATGCAATAGTTTTCGTGAAATGTCCAATTTAAAAAAATTCAAGAATTCAACTATCAATCCTAAAATAGAGATTGAGTGCTGCACTGATTTAATAACGTTGTTTTCTTACTATAGTGCAAAGTATCCAAAAATATTGCTAATCTTTAAATGTTGTCACTTTTCTAAATATGGGCCGTTTCACCAAAACTTTCTATTTTTGCAGCATTCTAGATTTGAAAAAATAATATAATTGAAAGTTGGAAATTGGGTAACTTACTATTACTTACTATATGGGGAAAATCAAGTGATCATCACTTGATTTTGATGTGTAACATAAATATGATACTAGTGATGCATGAGTTCCAGAATTTTTCTTAAATCCAATTTCTTTAAAATCCTTTGGAAAATTTTAAAAATAAAAAAATGCGAATGGTTGGTATTATTAATCTTTAATTATAAAATTCATACTTGATTATATAATTCCTATAAAATAAATAATATATATTATCATTGTTATTTATTTATTATTTGTAAAAGTTGAGTCAAGATGAAGAAGTAGAGGTAGAAGTTACATTGGAAGATCAACAAAGGATTAATGAATTTAGTAAAGCAAATACAAAATATTCCGATTTAGAAGAAACGTACGAGAATAAAAAACAAGAGAAAGAATATCTTGATGATTTAACAAATGAATTGGAGCTTTTAGATGAGGAGGAAAAGATAAAGTATAATTTATCATTATTAATTATTCCAGAAATAAATAACTGAATATATTATATATGATTGAATCAATTGTTATAATTAATTATAGGTATAAGATAGGAGACTCATTTATTGATTTACCAATTCTCAAAGTGCAAGAATTAATTGAAAAAGATAAAGCATTGTTGGAAGGAGAGTTGGAAAGTATAAAGAACGAATTTGATGAATTAAAGAATAAAATGTCAAATTTAAAAGTTCATTTATACAGAAAATTTGGTAAAGCAATCAACTTGGAAAGATAAAAAAAAATTTTTTCTGTCAGTGAAATGAAAAATTATTAAACATTATTTTTTTTATTTTGTTTGTTTTAATATATAATGTAATTTTCTAGACACTGATTTTATTACTTATATTCACAATTATATTCAAGCATTAGTATTAGATAATATTAATTTCTTGCCAAAAAAAAAAAAAAAATATATATATATATATGAAAATTTATAATTAATTAATCATTTACCTATGTTTTCCACATCTCGGGAAGCTTAAGTGTGAATGAATCCCCCCTGGGATAAAGAAATCGCCAGTTTTTGTTTTAAAATGAAATTTTTAATTAATAATTACCAAAATCTATCTACCAATCAGCGATGACAATAAAATCTCGCGCTGTATTATTGTTCATGAAAGTTAAAAAATGTTACAAACTTTAATACTTAATTCCAGACCTCAAATCTCCACTACAACTAGCTTTATTTCTGCTGAACAACTGAATCGAAACAATGAGCCAGAATGTTTTACTAAAGGAAAATATGGTAGTTTAGACGACAACATAGAAAACTGTAAATATGATTATCTTTATAATGATAAATGTTTGATAGTTCAAAATTATCCTTCACCTCCAGCAAAATTTCTTAAAGGAAAGCAGATATACTTTGCAGAATTTAGGACCATAGACTACAATATCAAATTATATCATAGGATCTGTATTGATGCGAATGATCCTGACAATAAATCAAATTTAAAAGATTGTAAATATATCAAAAAAATCTTAAATGTACACCATTTTGAAATGAATGACTTCCCATATATGTTAATAACAACATTATCAGAAAATATCAATAATAATAATATCAATAACAACCAATCAGAAAATCAATTTTACTACATTTTATATAATTTCACATCGAAATTAAATCCAGTTCAACCATTAATTTTACAGCACCATAACCAACCACAACAACCTTTTCATCATCATGATCCAGTAAAATCAACAAATGTGAATTCATCGGGAAACAATGTTACATTCTCTAAAGGGATTCAATGTAGCGATGTTGATATAAAAACAATCACTGATTCAAATAGAACAGAGGCTCAATTAGCTTACTTAATGGCTATTGGATTGGGTAAAAAATTATATTTTTATTGGTTAGTTCCTCCACAACCTTCTTCTCAAGACAAATATGATACACAAGTTTATAATTATCATTGTGGTCAATATCAAATTGATTTAGTAATCACAACTGTTAGTTTATATTTTACATCGTCATCTAATCAACCTCCCAGATATCAAAATTCACATTACCTATTTGTTGGCACTGAAAATGGATGTTTGGATTTATATAATTATAATCCTAATCCTATGAAAAACATTCGTCCAATTTGTCACATTGAAGGGACTGATCCTATTGCACCAATTACAAATATTATTGTTGCTTCACCACTTTCAGAAGAACAATGTCATTTACTAATTGTCGGTTATGGTGGTAGAAATGATTTTGAACTTGATAGATCTCTGCGAATCAGGGTCTTTAAAGCATCGTTCGTCTTCAATAATCCAACATTTTATGAAATTAATTTTCCTTTAGATAGTCCATTCAATAAAATCAAAGGAAGGATAATCAATATGCAAATTAATAAAGTCGAAGGATCATCCATATGCAATCTAAGCGTTTTAATTAGTCAAGTTGAAAAAAATGATGATAAAGTTAAAATTACAAAAGTAATTTCCTTGATTAAAATAGGAAGATCTCAGATTACAGTTTCATTCTTCCAGGAAGTGGAAACAAACAAGCAAGATGTATTAGACATTACACCTGTATATAATGAAGATGACTTTGTTTTATTGTTTTCAGATGGTTCAGAAGTTTTGAGTCGTGATATGCAATCATATAAAAGAGATATTTTTATACCATCAGAACCAAAACCCGAGTTTAATAAATTATTCCCAGAATTAGATTCAACATCATTATCAAGCTTAAGCAATTTTCCATTTAATAATACTACAATAATTGATGGGATATTACAAAGAAGGGCAATTATGGACAATGAATTAATTATTGATCTTTTACTCAAATTTGTAAGCATTGACAATAGTCTTTATCCACCACACGGCAAAGATGAATTAAAAGCATTATTTGATGCTATTTATTCTGATATTGAAATAGATGCTTTAAGGAAAAATTGTCTTATGTATTATTTATTAAAATTTTGGCGCTCAGATAAACACCAAAGCTTTGCAACAACTTATTTAATCTTACCAAATTTTGTGAATTTAATGGATGGTTATTGGTCACTTGATAATGGTTATTACTCTGAAGCTTCACTTTTCTTAACTGATCCCTCTGTTGAAGTTGACTTTGATATGAAGATATTAATGACTTTTTTAAAAAACACAAGTGTTCAAACAACTTTAAATTATGCAGAATTAAATAGTAAAACATTAGAATCAATGACGGAATTTAATGATATTAAGCAAGATATCTTGATTAATTTTGATCTTAAACAAGCCTACGTGTTCCAGAAAAAACATAGTAATGAGAAGCAAATTGACAAGAGAGATTTTAAAGCTTTAACAAAAATATTAAATTCTTGTTTTTTCCCTGTTCCTATGAAAGACAGATTAAATATTTTATTAGATCTAGAATTAGATGAATCTGAATATGAATATCTACAAAAATATTGTATTAAAAATGCTCAATTAGTTTTCTTGGTAATGTATTGTTTAAACCACAATAAGCTTGCCGACACTTTCAAATACAATAGCATGTTAAATCAGCTACAAGCTTCTAATAAAGATCTAATCGACAATTCTATCAATCCTCAAAAATGCGACGAAGTTATTAGAAAATTATGGGATGATTTGCCAAAACAACAAAAAGAAGAAATTTCCTCAGAAATTAAAAAAACTACAAGAAAAGATTCGAATCAAATAACTAATTATAAAGTTATTTATTTAGATGGCAATAAAATGGAAATGGATAATGTGATAGATGAGGAGATAAAATTATTCACATGATAATTTTTTCGTTCCCATATTTGTAACTTTCGATACTCTAAATAATAATAATAATATCTATATAATATATACACGCATAAATATACAATATACCATTATTGAAAGCCAAAAGTTCTTTGTCATTGTGGGCTGATATTAATAAAATATTTTTCTTTAATTTTGGAAATCAAGCGTCATAATATAATTATAATAATGAACAATTGACAAGTCACAGCCTTAGCTCCACTTTACAGTGGGTAATTAAAAGCCTAACTTGATCATTATAGTTGCGAAACAATCTTGTCAAGCTGAAAGTTTGGTTCTTCTCTTTTGAATTGTAGTGGAACCAATCCACCAGTTTCTTATATATGCAAAAAATTTGTCTTGTATTGTGAGAGACATATATATAAAATTTAGTATGAAAAAGTTTGCAAATCATTAAATCCAATAAAAATTTAATGTAAATGATACTTACCTGCCTGACATTTGTTGTTTTACAAATTTGAATAGACCAGAATCGTTGTCTTGATCAAATTTCTCTCGCAACATAAAGAACAAATTTGACTGGTACAGAACTCCTGTACACGACACCTTTCTTAATTCATCAAAGGTTTCCATTTCCAAATGCAACTACTGTGTTGAATTTTTTTGTGTGATTTGGTTACAAACCACATTCCAAGCTTGTTGCATTTTCATATAGACACCAAAGTCTTCTCCAGCATCGTTTATTATGAAATCAAGGATAAAATAATTGAGGTATATTATTGATGATATTCTGAAAGTTGTTTTAAATATTTTGATCATTCATATTCTTTCTTGCTCGGTTCAAAAATACCAACAAAAATGCCATCGCGGTTTGGATCTATAACAATTAAATCGTTTTTTAAAAATTTCTAATTTATGATAATTCCCATTTTCGTCATCAAAAAAAATCAATGATTATGACTATGATGATGCTGCTGTTGTTGGTGTTAATGATAAATTGCTATTGTTGAAGTTGAATATATTATTTTTGGTGACATTTTTAAAGATGTCGTTAATGGTACTAATACTAATGATTTTTTGGTAATCTGCATCCACGCTTATTACCAAGCACCCCATAGATCCACGATAGATTTCTGATATTTGAAGACTTCCAATAGGAAACGCGAAAAAAGCAATTTTGAGTTAATACCACCATCATATACAATTCTTCACTTGGAATCTTTTTGGATCGGATATTTTTAGTAATTGAAATGAAATGCAAACAAACCTTTTTAATCCTCCAAAATCTATTTTTAGATTTTATTGAAAAGCCTCATGGAGCTGATGTGCCACCACCATTCTTGTTTTACCTGATTCTGAGGGAATTCTGGTTAGCCGAGTTTGTTTAATATGGACTTAACCCAATCAACGTTAAACGTTCGCAATTAACTTATACTTATAAGAGAGCGAGAAGATGAGTTCAACTCTTTGTGTTCATCCGGATATGGTGCAGAAAGGGCGAAGTAAATTCTCACAAGATTGAGCACTTTTTTATTATTAATAATAAATAAGCTATTGTTTAATATTTCTTTGTCCTATTTTTCTGATTTCTTTTTTTTCATTATTATTTTTAGAAACAATTACTTATATAAAAAGGATTTGTTCCTATACTACTAATACTTTTTTTTTCGGAACATTTTTTTAAAAAAAAGGACACCTAATATTAATAATAATAATAATATTAATTAAATTAATACTAATTTTACGATTAATATAAATATGAATAAAAAATTCATTCCAATATCTTCTTTTATTTATGTTTTATTTTTCATCATCCTCATCACCACTCTTTTAAGTGCTACTACAGTTTCTGCTTCATCAGCACAAAATTCTTCATCCAAGTTAAAGAAAAGAAACAATGTATGTCCATATAGTAAAAGATCACTGTTATCTAAACGTAATGAGGCATGTCCTTGCGCTGTTGCTCGAGCCACATTCAGTAATAAAGTCACGGGTTTTATATTTTTGTCACAAAATCAATGTGATTCAACAACATTTGTTGGTCAATTCTCCAGTGGATTTAGACAAGGTTGCGATTATTCTTTTTTAATAACTGATGATTGTGGAAACATAATTAAAAATATCACTCAACAATTGGATGTGCAATTCAATAATAATGGCGGATCTGAAGCTTTCCATGCAAGAATTGACGATATTAGTATTAATTGCGACAACAACGGAATATTAAATTCAGCACAATCGTTTTCCTCAAAAAGAAAACGTACTTGTAAAAAGGCTGGTAAATCACTTATCAGAATTAATGAGGACGAGAAACATTTTGATGATGCTAAAATCGAATTATTAAAATAAATAATAACGATTTTTGTGGATGTGCATTTTCTTCTTTCTTTTTATATATATTTTTTTTTTTTAAAAAAAAAACGAGATAAACAATTTGAAAAGAAAAATTTTTTATATAGGTTCTTAAAAATTGTTATTAAAATAATTTCTTTATTACAAAATATTTAATAAAAATCAGGAATAAATCAATAAACATCATAAAATCCCAATGAAATTTGTGGCTTTGTAAGAATTGTTTTCAATATTAGTATATACTTGTTAAATTTCTCAAAATATTTGTTTATTAGAAAGTGACAAGAAATAATGTCTATTATTATAATCTTGTATTTATTAAGCTATTCTATTAATTTATATACCTTATATGTGCATACTGCAATAAAACAAAACAAAGTGAACATTAAATAATTTTACTATCATTATGCTTGATATATATATATCTATTCCTTCCTATAAAACTATTTATATGAAGCTGATCTATATTAAATCTACTATGGAACCTAAGAATTACAGTACTATCAGAAGTATTTTGAAGAAGGAACAAGGTGGGAAAATTGCCCCTTATGTTTTTAAATTAACTAATCCTAAATCTTTACAAGAATAATTAGATAAGGAAAGAATTACTTATGATGCCTATTGACAAGCAGAAATAAATCTTTTGTTCAGGAAGCAAGAGATCAAAAGCAAACTTTACCAAAAAAATAATGAATTGGCCAGTAGTAAAAAAAGAAAGTTGGAAGAGTAACCTTATAACTTAGTTAATATTAGTATAGGATTAAGTCTATATGGTTTACTGGTTTTTTTGTTAATTTTTCAAATTAACTGGAACAATATAACAACAGTAAATCCTAATGCAAAACCTTTAAAAATTTAGCTTGTTTTTAAAAAAAGAATCTTTTAAAGTACATTTATAATTATCTGTTTTGCTTCATTAAAATCAATTTTAGAAGTATTTTGTTTACAAGATTAGGGTCAATTTAAATCTAGGCCATAAGTATTTTTCATTTGACCAATAGTTCAAATGTCTTTAAGGATTTTTTCAATTTTATCTTGATAAGGTGTCAATTATAGTGTTACAAATCAATTTTTGCTATGTCTATATCACAGTGTTGGCAATTTAACCAGTTCAAATCTTTTTTTGAACCATTTGAACTTTTGAACTGATAATTGGTTAAATAACCGATTTGTGAGTTAAGTAACTGATACAAGTTATTTATAATTGTTTTTCCCACAACTTTAACATATATTAAATAAGGGAAAGAAGCAACATTTATTTACACCTTGGCTTAGACTTTTGATAGAAAAAGTGAATTCTACACGTAAAGGGCTTGCCTGGTAGATCTTGTATTAAAGCAAATCCTAATAAACCTATTGAAGACCTTTATTTTACTAATAAAAAAGAAACATGTCTAAATCATTTAAAACATTGCAAACATTTTAAAGAAGAAATTGGTGAAGCTGAATACCAACAAATAATCAACATCTACTTCCAATCAACAGGAGAGACCGTCCTATATAAGGAATGGATTTTCACAATTGATTTCAATTTTTTTTATACAGTTTAAAATACTTTTGCAAAGCCATTCTTGCAATAAATCATGTGTAAATAATTACACAAACTTGAATCTTTACACTCACAACAAGCTAAAAAATACCATAGATCAAGCCTATATTTTGCGCAGAGTAAACGACGACACGATCATATCAACCTCTTTAACTGTTTGTTGCATAATGTTGAGTTACAGCTGCCACCAATTCCTCTCTGCTGCGTAATTTCTAACCTTTTATTCACGAATTCTTTTGTATCTAAATTCACTGAATATTCATCGATTATCAGGTTAATTGATTGTTGGAATTTTAATCAATGAATGATTAATTGAATTATCAACGATCAGTTGATTCAAATAATCGAACAGCGAATATTAACATTCGGTGAATTTTCCGTGTTAGTATAAAAGACATACTAATACATAAGGGATGAGTCTCGATTCGGGAAATTTTTTCAAAAATCTGTTATACCGAGATTTAATTAGCTAAATACATTATATCAAAAGAATTTACTATAGCAGATTGTAATATTTGTTACACGGTACTGTAATAGAAATTCGTTCAACTTTTTTTTTTAGATAAACACGTAAAAAAAATAATAGAAAAATAGTAATGTCCACAATATCCGAAAGACTCACTTCAATTTCTACTATTCCTTCCCAAAAAGATAAAACAGCAGAATATCGATCTTTACTTGATTCTATTCTTTCTTCAGCTGATGATGACAAAGATTTTAAAACTAATCTAGAAACTTTTGTTGATCACATAGTACATGAACAAGTCGGACATGTTATTTCTCGTCAAGTACTAAGTGACTTCACACTAGGTGTAGACAAAATCGCTGATCGTGAGCTTAAAAAACAGATTTTGCACTTTGTTTTAAACAAAGTTCAACCAAGACTTGTTAGTTTTGAAGAACAAGTGAGTTTTTTGATATAACCATCCACAGTGTAATTATTTAATAATGATAATAATAATAATATTTGATTTGAAATTAAATTAGATTTCAATTCTTCGTGAAAAACTAGCTGGAATATATGAAACAGAAGAAGACTGGATTGAATCAGCAAAAGTATTACAAGGCATTCCATTAGACTCGGGCCATAGGTGTCTATTTAATTTTTTTAAACAATATGCACATATATATAAATATTGATTTGTTTATTGATTTATTTATTTTAAAAAAAAATTTCCAAAGAGCTGTTTCAGATGAATACAAATTAAAAATCTATATTAAAATTATCCAACTACTTTTGGAAGAAGATGAAGCTGTGCCAGCAGAAACATATCTTAGTCGAGCTGCTTTATTGATTCCTGGATGTAAGGATCAAGTAAAAAATTTAACATTTAAATTATCACAAGCTAAAATCCTTGATTTCAAAAGGAAGTTTCTTGAAGCTAGTTCCAAATATCATGAATTAAGTTATGTTTCAGAGTTAGCACCTGATGACCGTACAAATTGTTTGTGAGTAGTTATTAAAATAATATAATGATTATTATTCTTATTATTCTTATTATTATTTCATAACTGCGACATATATCTTTATATTCTTTCATATTGTTATAGAAACGCTGCTATCACCTGCGCAGTCCTTGCAGGTGCAGGCCCTCAACGTTCACGTATGTTAGCCACTTTGTACAAAGATGAAAGAGTACAACGTTTACCACACTTTCCAATTCTTGAAAAAATGTATCTTGATCGTGTTTTAAGACCAAATGAAGTTAAAGGATTTGCAGAGATGCTTAAAGAACATCAACGTGCTAGACTTGCTGATGGTACTACTGTTTTAGATCGTGCTGTAATTGAACACAATCTTTTATCTGCATCAATGATTTACAATAATATTACATTTGAAGAACTTGGTTCGTTACTGGCTATTTCACCTGATCAAGCTGAACAAATTGCCAGTTCTATGATTGAACAAGGCAGAATGCAAGGCACAATTGATCAAATAGAACATTTGATATTTTTTGAAAGTAATTCTTCAACTAGTCTTGGTAAATCTGTAGGCAGTGCACATGCTTCAAAATGGGACATGGCAATACAAAATGTATGTCATCATGTAGAGGAAGTAGTAATTGCTATCGGTGTAAAATATCCAGATTTAATGCAGAAATCTATTTAAATATATTAATATCATAATGATGATATAAATAATAATTTATATCATCATCATTGCTTTTAAATAACATTTATAATTTTTTATTTTATGGGATTTCATTTTTTTTTGTTTTTTAAAAAACTGGTAGTTGGAATTCATGGAATAAATTTGGATGTAATATCAATGAAACATTAATTCGTGATATTACTGATGCATTAATTGAAACAGGGTTGAGTGATGTTGGGTATCAATATGTGAATTTGGATGATTGTTGGCAAAAAACAAGAACTTGGAGTGGGATAATTACTCCAGATTCAGAGAAATTTCCATCTGGATTGGAAAGTTTATCAGATTATATTCATAGTAAAGGATTATTATTTGGTTTATATTCAAGTGCTGGTAAATAATATTAAATTTATTTGAAAATGAGGTGAATTTAGAAATTTATTACATAAATATATGCACTCATACAAACATACTCAACATCAACATTATTCGTTCATTATATTATATTAGGGTTTTGGACATGTGCAAAACGTCCAGGATCATTATTACACGAAGATATTGATGCAGAGTTATATGCAAAATGGAAAGTTGATTATCTTAAATATGATAATTGTTGGAATTTTGGAATAGGAGCACAAAAAAGATATACATGTATGAGATTTATTATGTGTATATATGTGTGTGTGTGTGTGTGTGTGTGTGTGTATGTATATAAAATATAAATCATTGTAACAATTTTAATAATTTTATTTATTTATTAGGGATGCATGATGCATTGAATATAACTGGTAGACCTATTTTATATTCAATATGTAGTTGGGGTAAAGAAGATCCTTGGATTTGGTATTTATTTAAAAGATTATTATCAAATAATAATAATAGTAATTTACAATTTAAATATTCAAAATAAAGGGGATCGGACATAGGAAATTCATGGAGAACAACATCTGACATTAGTGATTATTTTACTACTAATCAAACAAATGATCCCCAGAATTGTAATCCATGTGGAGTGTTAGAAATATTAGATTCTACAGTTGGCCTAGAGAAATATTCTTCACCAGGAGGATTTAATGATTTAGATATGCTGGAAGTTGGAAATGGGGGAATGACTTTTGAAGAATATAAAAGTCATTTTTGTAAATAATAATATTTTATTGTTTGCCTTTTTTAATATTACATGAATATAATATTGATATTTATTTTAATTATTATTAAAATTTTTATGGATCTTTTTTTTTAGCACTTTGGGCAGCATTAAAATCACCATTATTAATTGGATGTGATGTTCGTAATATGACAGATGAAACAATTCAAATTTTAAACAATACAGAAATCATTGGTATTAATCAAGACCCACTTGGTAAATCTGCAAAATTAGCATATCGTGAAAAACACAAAGATCAAGAAAAAGTTTCTACAATATCATATGATATATGGATTGGTGAACTTTCTAGTGACACTCAAGAACATGCAGTTGCCAGTAAATGATTTATTAATTAAATATTTTTTTACTATATGTATTATTTGTATTAATTAATTAATTAATAATTTATTTTTTGGTGGGAAAAAAGTTTTGCTTAATCGTAATGATGAGGATTATTCAATCAAATTTCCATTTGAATTACTTGGACCATTCTTTTCTTCAAGTTTCAATTCTGATACAACATCTCTTTTATTAAGAGATTTATGGCAACATAAAGATCTTGGTTCTTTTACTAAAGAGTAAGTAAAAAAAACTTTTTTTTTTTAAAAAAATTTTTTGTTAAATATTGATTAATCTTATTGGTTTTTTAGATACATATCTGATAAAATTCCTGCTCATGGAGTTGTAGTATTGAAAATAACCTATAGTCATCCTAAATTTAATTTTATTGCACAATTATCTTAAAAAATATTTTTTCTTTGATTTGTATATCATTCATTGTATAATAATAAATAAATATCTGTTGTTTCTCTTTTTTAAACATCATCACCACTAAAGTTTCAAATGGGTTGGGTTGAATGACATACCTGACTATAAATAGACCTGAGTTTTTTAATTACTGACCTGACCCAAACAATCAACATGGACAAGTACCAGAACAGATATATATTTTTTTTCAAAAATATATATACAGCAAAAGCCATCAAAGTGACACAAAGGGTATTAAAGTTAACAATTTAGCTAATTTATCCTGCTTACTGCCTCGGCAAATATGTGAGCACACTTTATAGTCCAATAGCAATGAATTTGATTACTTTTATCACTTTTGAATAAATATATATATAAGAAATAAATAGTAAGAATATTAAAACGAAAGAGGTTAGGTCACATGTCCAACATACGGTTGGACGGCACTTCTTGCAACACTTATAAGAAAGATCTATCGATCTTATGACTTTTGGGATTTTGAACTTCAAGTCTGGAGTCCAGCCAGTCCCCTAAGAATTGATTAACACACACTCTTTTTTTTTTTAATTAAAAAAAAATATAATTTATTATGATACAAAAAATTTGAATATCCACTATGTCAACCATAATAAAACGGCAGAAATAACAACAATTACAAGAATACCTTTAAGATTTGATATTTAAATTTGAAATAAAACACCATTATAAAATCACAATCACATTTTATTGGTGATTTTCAATTTATCATTCACTATATGTCTGGTTTTGTTCATTTATGATGTCTGTCACAAAATTCTTTGATACGAGTGTAAGCTTCTCTTAATTTTTCAGGAGGTGCTGTAATTACGATTCTTACTAATAATATTAATAATAATAATAATAGTAATAAGAATATATTTGTGAAAAGCAACAAATTATTTCAAAACTTACTGTAATTAGGATAGTTAAAACACTAAATAACCATTAAAACAATGTAAATAATTATCATTAAAATATAGTTAAAATAAATATTAAAATAAATAATTGCTATTTATACCGTTCCTGGCAAGCAAAGTACAGATTCTTCTTGCACTAATTTCTCAGTGAAATCCACATCATTCTTAAAATCTTTGAATTGATTAAAATTAATACCAAACATTATATACATAGCACCTTCAGGTATGATAACATTTAAACCGGGAATTTTTGCCAGAATCTCAGCACTGAGCCTAGCATTTTCTTCAAGCTGGGTAATGGTTGTTTGATAAAAAGATTCTGGAGTATTTTTCAACATATCAGGCAAAGCATGTTGCATCAAAGAATTAGCACCCAATATTAAATTTGCTAACGAATTCAATCCACTACGAACATTTTTCAATACATCATTACGGTCATGTATAAATACCCAACCAACTCTCCAACCTGGCACCAGGAACCTTTTTGCCAGACCACTAATTTTTAGGACTGGTACAGTTGTTGTTAAATTAGCTATTGGATAAAATTTTGAACTGTTGAATACCATGTCTTCATAGATTTCATCACTAATTATTGGTAATTTGTAAGTTTCACAGATTGATAGGATGGCCTCTAAATGTTCTTGAGAGAAATTAGACCCACATGGATTTGAAGGATTATTT